CGGTTCCCGGGGCTTCTCCGGGCCTGGGATCGGTTCCCGGGGCTTCTCCGGGCCTGGGATCGGTCCCTGGAGGTGCCAAAGCCACCACCCTCTGCTGAGCTCTTCGCCCAGAGAAACACACTGAAACCAAGGAAGAACATCTTGGCTCATCCTAAGAATTCCTTGGAAACAGCTTTCCGAGGCAAGCTGGAGGAAAAGCAACCTGCAGAGCTCCAGGGGATGGTCCAATCCCACCTGGACCACTGGGGTTTGGGGTTCCTGGACTGCAGGCCATGGGGGGTCACAGCCTCAGAGCAGCCCCACGACAACCTACAGGCACCACGTGGTCCCTTCCGTGGTCTCCTCCTCCTTGGGGTTGTTGTCTGTCCACAAACACTTTTCCATCCAGGAATGGTGATAATTTTTAAGGAAACGAGCCAAGATCAAAGATTCCAGGTCAAAGCCACCGGCCCCGATCCACACAGCACACAGGTGGATCTCCAACAACTTCAGAGGTCACAGAGAAGGTTCAAACCCTGCCAGGGATCCTCCTGAGTCTCTGACAGCCCCATGGATGTCCCAGCAGTGCCCTCTGGTGTCTCCAGACACCTCCTTCCCCAAAATTGGCCTTTTTCCTACTGGAAAAAAGGCACAGGAAGGCCCAGGGATGGAGCTGAGGAGCACCAAGACCCCCAGGGAACGCGGTCCCCTCCCATCTCCAGCACCCCTTTGGCCAAGCCCCAAGTTGCCCCTCCTTGCCTGGATCCACCAGAAACGAGTTCAGGGATGAAGCTGAGAGCAGGGAGAAGACAATCCAGCAGAAATGGGAGGAAAACAAGGACAGCAGAGCTCTGGATCTGTCCTGGATCAGCCCCTCGGCAACGCCGGAGTTGCTGGGAGTGATCCTTGGTGACCTTGGGGACACCAGGAGCCACGAGCAGGAGCTCAGAGCACCTCAACCAAAGCCTTCCAGATTACACGGGGCGAGTCACTGAGGCCACGGGACAGGAAAATCCTGGTTTTCCAGCCGGGATGAGCTTCAACTCATCCTTAAAACTCAACCCCCAAAACGCACCTTAACGAGGAAAAAAACGGTTCCTCAGAGAAAAAAACGACCACCAGGATCAACTCGTGAATAACCCCAGAACTCCTTCCACCTCCAGTTCCAAGCGATGCCTGCAGGCTTTATCCCATGGGATATTCCTATTCCATACAGCAGAAGACACCAGTTGTTTTTCCAGGGAAGAGACAACCCCAGGTGCCATCCCGAGGCGGACGTACCGGCGTAATAAAAGCGAACGTCTTCGGGAAGGGGCTCGTAAAGGGGGGCAAAGTAGGGGCCCCTGTGCTCCAACTGCGTCCACTTGACTCCATCTTCCTTCTTTTCCTCTTCCCACCTGGGAGAAGACACAAAGGGGGGACCAGTGAGAACATCCTAAACCCCCGGGGTGAAGTTCCAGACCCCAAGTTGGCCCAAACTCCAGGTGAAATCCCGTTTTCTCCGCTCCCGCCTCGGTTTTCCCATTGTTTGAGACGAGGGAAGCCGCAAAGGAACCCAGGGAAAGGTGTTTTGAGGAAGGGGGTGGTGATATTGGAGGGATTCAGGAGAGCGAAGGGACCTCAAAGATCATCTCATTCCATGGGAAGAGACACCTTCCACTATCCCAGGTCGCTCCAAGCCCCATCCAATCCCTCCTGAAGAATTCCAGGGATGAGGCAGCCACTGCTTCCTCTGGAAAACCCGGAGCTGTTCCTCAGGATCATTCAGAACTTTGAGTTTGATGCAAAGAAGATTTGAACACATCTCCCCCCTCAGCCAGAAGAAACAGGATCTTGGCTGGAGATTCAAAATCAATTAATCAATTAATTAATTAATCAAATATAAAAGTTAAAAAGTGTCAGAACAACCTGAAAAAAAAAAAAAAAAATCAAAAAGCATGAAAAAGGGGAAAAAAAAAAAAAAGGTCAGGGATAAAAGAAGAGGTACAGCACAGGATGGGGCACTGGCCCTTTAATTCCAGCATCTCCAAGGGAAAAAAAAGCCAAGGATTGCTGGGAAAACACGGGCTGAGAGAGAGAAATTCCCCTTTCTTGCTCAGGAGGCGGCCCCGGAAGCATTTGGGATTTTTCTCCTTCCCCCTGGAAACGTGCAGGAACGGATGGGTTGTAGGAAAAGGTGGATTTTGTCAGAAAAACACGGGGGGGGGAAAAAGGATATTAAGGAAAAATCAATGAGTTATAGGAATTTTGGATGGGAAATAAATGGGGAATAAATCCAGTGTGGTAAAAGGTGGATTCTCCCACAAAAATACAGGGAAAATACAAGATATTAAGGAAAAAAAAAAATCAATGAGTTACAGGAATTTTAGATGGGAAATGTGCAGGGATAAATCCAGTGTGGCAAAAGGTGGATTTTCCCAGAAAAACACAGGGAAAATAAAAATACAAAGGAAATAACAACAGGTTACAGGAATTTTGGATGGGAAATATGGAGGAATAAATCCAGTGTGGCAAAAGGTGTATTTTGGAAGAAAAACACAGGGAAAATAAAAATATTAAGGAAAAATCAACAAGCTACAGGAATTTGGGATGGGAAACACGGAGGAATAAATCCAAATGCAAAGAAATCCAATTCCAAAAGATGCATTTTCCAAGAAAAACACGGGGGGGGAGATTTTTAATATATTTTACTTTTATTTTTCTATATTATTATTTATTTTTATTTTCTATATTTTATACAGATTGTTTATATATTTTTCTATATTTTTATAATACATAATATAATATAATGTGATATAATTATATTATATGTATACAAATATAATTATATACTACATACAAATATTCTATTTTATATAGTATTATATATTACTTATATTGTATAAATATCAAATAATATAAATATTAAATATCTTATATAATAGTTTACATTAATGTTTAATAACATTATCTACTGTATACAAATATAAATATAATTATATTTATATTTTTATTTTTTATATAGTTACCTTTATTTTTATTTATTATATATTTCTAGTTTTATATTTGTATCTATTTATTGTTTATTATATATTTATTATTTATTTAATATTTATCTTTGTTTATTATTTATTTTATATTTCTATTTATTTATTATATTTATATCAAATAATACACATATTAAATATGTATTAAATATTAATATAAAATATTATACAGAACATATATATTATATACAAATATAAATATAATTATGTTTCTATTTCTATTTATTTTTATGTTTTTATTATATATTTTATTTAAAATGTGTCTTTATTTTTATTTATTTAGTATATATTTATTATTTAGTTATATTTGTATCTTCATAATATATCTTTAATTATTATATATTATTTATTTTATATTTGTATATTCATTTTTATTTATTTATTATATATAATTTATTTTATATTTTGTATTTATATTTATTATTTTGTTATTTTTATTTGTATATTTATGTTTATTTTCATTTATTTTTTATTTTATATTTTTTATTTCTATTTTTATATATAATACATATATTATATTTATATTTTATTATATAATTTGGGCAAATTATCTCCTTGCACCAACTCCAGGCATCTCCCTTCTCTGGTTGGACACCAGAAAAGGCATTTCTGGAGAAATAACTAAAACCAACTATTAAATAAATACCTTAAATACTAAATTATAAAGAAATATCTCCAATTTTGCAGACACTGTTGGGTTTTCTCTCTCAGCCCCTTCGTCCTGCCAAGAGTGACGAGTTCAGGGCTTCAGAAAATCCAGCAAAACAGGTAAAAAATGGCAACAAAATCCAATTTTCACACTTTTGCCCCAAGAAATAAAACCAAAAATTTAATTTTCAGTTTTACCTTAAGAAATAAAACTCAAATTCAATTTTCCACACTTTTGGCCTTAGAAAGAAAACCAAAAATTCAGTTTTCAGTTTTACCCCAAGAAATAAAACTCAAATTCAATTTTCACACTTTTGCTCAAAGAAATAAAACTAAAAATTCAATTTTCAACCTTTACCCAAAGAAATAAAACCAAAAATTCAATTCTCAATTTTACCCAAAGAAATAAAACCAAAAGTTCAATTCTCAATTTTACCCAAAGAAATAAAACCAAAAATTCAATTTTCACGCTTTTGCCCTAAAAAATAAAACTCAAAATTCCATTTTCACCCTTTTACCCAAAGAACTCAAACCAAAACCCCCCCAAAGCATCCGGGTCGGATCTTCCCGGGGGGCCAAAAGCACACGGAATATTTACCATTTCCACTTGTTTTCCGCCTCTTTTTCCTCCTCTTTCCGCGCCTTTTTGTTGTCCTTTTCTCCTCCTCCTTCCTTGGATTTCCTTTTCCTGCTTTTCCCTGGAGTCTCCTCCTCTTCCCTCTTCTTCTCCTCCTTCTCTTGCTCTTCCCCCTCCAGCTTTTTCTTCTTGCTTTTCCTCTTTTTCTCTTTCCCTGGTCCATCTCCCTTCCCTTCCTCCTCCTCCTTTTCCTGCTCCATCCCCGTGCTCCGTGTCTCTCCCAACTCTTCCTCCTCCTTTACTCCTTTTCCATCCCCACTTCCCTTTCCCACCTCACCTTTTCCCCCCATTTCACCTCCTGCTCCTTCCTCTCTTTCCTCCTCCACCTTTTCCTCCTCCTTTACTCCTTTTCCATCCCCACTTCCCTTTCCCACCTCATCTTTTCCCTCTGTTTCACCTCCCACTCCTTCCTCTCTTTCCTCCTCCTCCTCCATCTTTTCCACCTCTTGCTCCTTTTCCTCTTCCAACACTTTTTCCTTCTTTATTCCCTTTTTCCCCACCTTTTCCACCCCCTCAACTTTCCCCTTCTTGTGTTTCTTCGCTTTTCCCGTCTCCTGGTTTTCTCTCCCATCCCCCTGTCCCTGAAATCCGTTGCTTTTCCCTCTTTCGGCTCTTCCCTGTTCCCCTTCCCAATTCCTGCCCCCATCACCCTCCTCCTCCTCCTCAATTCCCTCCATCCCATTCCCAAATTTATCCTTCTTCCTCCCTCTTTTCCTCTTCAATCCCTTTTCCTGCTCTTTCTTTTCTTCTTGTTTCTTCTCTCGTCCTTTTTTGCTTTTCAGGACTTGGGAATCCCATTCCTTTTGTGGGACAGGGGGATCCAGCTCCTTCTCCTCATCCATCTCCAAATTCCCAGGATCTCCAGAGGGGGAGGAAATCCCACCAGCGACACCATCACTTGGCTTTGGGATCTGTGGGAAGCAGCCAGAAGGGAAGGAATGTTGAGGTTGGGAAAAGAGAGAGGTTATCCCAAAGCCCAGGAGTGGCTGAGGGACGTATTCCATGCAGGATAAGATCCAGGGAATGTCATTCCTCCCAGATTTCCTACCCCAATTCCATTCTGGCTCTCCAAGAGCTGCTGTCCCACCGCAGGTCCTGCTTCCCGGGGTTTATCCTGGGACCTACAACGAAATTCCAGCCACTTCTCACCACCTTGGGGAGCACCAGCTCCACCTCTTCCATCCAAAATTAGGGAATTGCTCCCAAACAAGTCCTTGTTTCTCCTCCAGGGAAGCTCCACAGGTGTTGTGGCACACGGAGATATCCCAAAGCAGCAGCGGATTTTATCCACCTTTTATCCCACACGGATTTGATGGGATGAGGAAGCACAAGAAAAGCAGGACCATGAGGTCTCCAGACCAAATGGGCAACATTCCAAGGGAATATTCCCAGAGAAACCTCAGGGGAAAAGTTTACAAGGTTTGGGAGCACCAACAGCACACGGGACAGGTGGGATCAGGTTGGATATCATGGATATAGCGGAGGAGGAGATGGGACTGCTGGGATTGTGGGGACAAGCTCCTCCATCCCAAGGCAGCCTGAGGATGGAAAGGGAAGGCCAGGGAAGGCCAGGGAAGGCCAGGGAAGGCCAGGGAAGGCCACAAGTTCACAACAATCTGCAGGACAAGGAGTGTCCAAATCCACAATTCCTTCCATCCACAATATGGGTGGGGAACATGGGAATGTTTCCCTGCTCAGCACAGAGATCACTGGGATTTCTGGGATTTCTGTGGGACTTGGGAAAGATTACAAAGCACAACCTGGTCCCTATAAAATAACTCCTCCCAAGGTTTCTCCGAGCCAGGCAGGGAATTGGGACATCATCTTGGAGCTGCTCCTGTTCCCAAAAAAAAAAAATCCAAGCAAAATAGGGAGGAAGGAGTAGCAAGCCCAGCCTAAACCAAGCCTACATCTCCTCAGGGTGGATTTAAGATGGATATCGGGAAAATTCCTCACTGGAAGGGTGGGCAAGCATTGGAATGGGTTGCCCAGGGAAGTGCTGGAATCACCATCCCTCTTGGAAGTGTCCAGGAAACATAAACGTGGCACTTGGGGACGTGGGATAGTGGTTGGACTTGATGATCTTGGATGTCTTTTCCAACCTTAACGATTCCATGAGGGTTGTGGTGATGGTGTCCCCTGGCCCCACATGGAAATGTGGGGTCTTTTCCAAACTCTGTGATTCCAGGCTGGAGGTGACTGTGCCTCCATGTCCACATGGAAAGTTGTTTCTGTCCCTTTGGGGTCATTGTCACTTCCCAAGAAAGTTCTCCCAGCTGGATAAGGCTGGAGCTGAGCTCAGCCCATGGATCAGCCCCATTCCCTGCCTTTCCCAGCTCCTGGCACCCCTCAGCAGGACCATTTTGGAAGCACAGCCCTGATCCTACCCAGGAAAGAGCTGGAAAACCACATTCCTGCTCCCAAGGAAGAGGCTCAACAGAAGGGATGGGATGGTTCTCCTGGAATTCCAGGGGAGCCCAAACAGAAGAGCCACAAATTCCTGCTTTTATCCAAAACATCCCACACAGTTTCTACAAGAGACAGTGGAGGGTTTGGCCCTTTTCTCCAAATTAATTTAGGCTGATCCTTAATTACCTTAATGTGGGACAAAATAGGGCACAGGAATTTTTGGGATGGAAACAAAGCTCCCAAGGAAAAAAAAAACACCAAACCAGGAGCCAGATGCTTTTTCCAGCTGGAAGGCACGTCAGACCATCCCCACTAAACTCATTAGGGAAAAATATCCCAGGAAAACAAGCTCAGCCCTTCCAATCTCATTAACAGATCCATGACTCAGGAGGCAAAGTCCTTCCTGCCACCTTTTGGCATCGGCTCTTTATTCCAAAGGTCTCATTAGAGGCCTCTCAGTGGGCATTTTGAAGAGGCAAGAGAGGATTAACCTGCTTAGGCCCAGCTTTAGTCTGAGTTCAGCTTCTTATCTCTGCCCAGATCTAACCCAGGGAGAGGGAAGGAACAGCCTTTTCCCAGGATTTGGGAGGCTGGTTGTTCCCACCTCTCTGTTCCTGGAGGTGTTTGCAGCTGAGCAATCCCACCCTGCTGACTCAGGGAGCTTGGATGGGGCAGGACCTTCCCTCTCCACCCTCAAATCCCAGGATTGGGCCTTAAATCCCCCTCGGGATGTTTTTGGAAAGGTGTCACCGGTGAAGCTGCTCAGGTGGAGGCACCAACTGCTGGTTTGGGTGACCCAGGGCTGTGCAACCCCACAAAAAAAAAAGAAGAAAAAGGACAAAGTTCCCAATTCTCCGGGTAAAAATCATCCCAAAAGTGACTCAACTCACCCTGAAGAGTCTTGAAGCTCCACAGATGGCCCTTGGGGGAGGGTTCCTTTGGTCTCCTCCTGGAATATATTGGGAAAGGTGACCTGGAACAGGTATCCCAAGAGCAGCATCGTTCCCAAAAATCACCCAGCCCCTCACCCTGCCACCGTTTCCCCCTTCCTTGGCCTCCTTGGCTGGAAACCAGGAGCCCAAACCAGCCAAGATTTCCCAAGCTTTGAGGTTTTTCTGGGGTTAGGAAATCCCTGCCTTCCTTCCAACGCCACCATTAAAGTATTTTATGGAGCAAAAACCCCAAAGCTCTACCCCTCCTCAACCACCTGCCCGTTGGATGCACTGCTGGGATAGAATTCCAGGACTAACAGGAATGGGATGGCTCCAAAATAAAGATGCATCAAGTGCCAGCTTGGCCCTTAGGAGGGGAAATCACCTTTGTAGCAGATGGCAAGAGGGAAAAAGGGGTGGGGACAAAGCCACAGGGTGGGAAACACAAGAAAGGAACAAAATAAAGGGAAAATTGGGACAGAACTTGGAAGCAAACGAGCTCAGAGGGGACACAAACTCTAAAATCTGCCCCTTGGAGGCCACCAGGAATCTTATTTTAATATCTGCACACTTGTTCTCAAAGCTGAAACCAGATTTTTTTCCTGCTCCTGACCACACCAGACACCCTGAAACCCATCCCAAGCTCCTCCAACCCTCTCCAAGCATCCAGGCTCTCTTCGAAATTCCGCCTTCCCGAGTTTCTCTTTCAAAGGAAACCAAAACCACAGAGGGATTTTTCTTGAAAGCAGCTGCTGGGTGAACTCATTAAAGGGGGAATCAAAACCTCAGTTAATTAGAGGTTGGTTAGG